ATAAGGCATTCGACTAGGGGAAAAGCTTAAAAATTTACCTTCAAGTTTTTAAACTTAATAAAATTTGATATTCATCTTTTAATCGCTTTTATGATATTTATAATGCAACTAATTTTTGTTTGCAACATCCAACACTTTTATTAATAATGCTTAATCTTTTCCTGTCTTCATATCCCTAAAAATAGAAGAAAGCTATTGTACTATATTGAACCCTTATACTCAATATTTATTCCTTCTAATTTTAAGGGCTGTAACATAAAACTATTATATTTAAAAGTATGCTTATAACCTAAAACTTGAATTATCTTATAATCCTTTCCTTTTTGAAACTACAAATCATTGGGTATTTCCTTTTGATAAAGCATAGTATATTGAATCATTTTATGATATCCATTAGATAAGATCTTATGAATTTAAAGAATATTTATAATAGTTTGTTGTAGAATCTTTCAATACAGATGCTAACAGTCTTTAATCAAAATATTTAATTGATGATTACATTATTCAGATATTTGCAAATTATTAAATTCTTAGAATTTAACATATTTAGAATATTGAAGATGGTAGATTAAAACAAAGTCTATAACAAACATATTATTAAATGGCAATCTATTTGAAAGCTAATTGGATGAAAGTAAGACCAAATATACTGAACAATCTTTTGATTCAATCTATAATTTAAATTAAGTTAATTATAAATAATTATTATTTATAACCTTATATATTTGCAAGTCGTAAAAAGTTGTGGTTAATTTGGATAAATGATTTTTAAGAGATATTTTCTTACTTTGTAATTACATAAACATAATTAATGTAAATATTAAATAGAATTTGTATTTAAATATTTTTGTTTTTGATTTACTTTCCTCGTTTAAAATATTAATGACTTTTAATATTTCTCGGAAATTAATTTAATAACATAGTGCTATCAATTATATAAAATCTTAATTATTGATTGTAAAAAAGATATTTACTGAATAATATTTTAAATGAATAAAAGTGAATCTTAAGAAATTATCTTTAATTGGTTGATTATAAAATTATATATTATTCATTAAAAATAGACAAAAAATATTACTAATTTAGATATATGATAATATCTAAATATCTATAGACTCTTTATTTCACTGTTATTGAGTTTGGCCTTTTTTCTGTTTATAGTAACTTCTTAAAAATGTTTATGATTTGACTGCTATTCTAATATTTTCATGAGTCTCTCTGAATATTTATTAAATATTATCTCGAGAATATCCTTCAAAAGTGAAATTTTTAATTTTTGTAAAATGTCATATTTAGTTTATTCATACTCCTTAAAACCATCTATTAGAATATAGTGTATGTGATACTTTTGTACTTTATTCCTAGATCTAACCCCAAGCATTATCTGATAATTTAAAAGTATCATAGATTAGAGTATCTTTAATATCTTCTAAAAATTGTTTTCAGAACTAATTAATTATTCATATCTGACAAACTAGTTGTTATGAAATTCCTTAAACACCTTCAAGAGATGTTAATTATAAAGGACGTTTTGATATTTGTTTAGATGTATTAACTCTGAAATCATTAGTTTTTTATTATATTCTTAATAATTATAAAACTTAATCTTAATTATTAATTATATTAATTATTAAAATTAATTTCCTATTATATTATATTTACTAATTAAATATATTTATATAAAAATGTATGGAAAATAATATTATTATAGCGATCTTTTCTTATCAATATATTTTATATCCTTTATTTATTACAATCTAATGTTATTATAAATATATTATTATATATATTTTTGTATTCAATTTATCCATTAATAAATATAATTTTATTTGTGTTTTTAAATATAAAAAAATGGAAGAAAAAAGTATTAGAATAAAAATAGAAACACCACAATCAGAATCAGAAGAACAACCTAAAATAATTGAATTAATTTAAAAGGATCAAGAAAAGAAATTTAGATTAAATAGAAAAAGAAATGACGAAAAAAAGAACATAAGATATTCAATATAGAAATATTAACTAAATTTAATTATTAAAAACCAACTCCAATTTAAACGGTTGCTATACCAATTATTTGTAAAAAAAGAATCTTATGACAATTGCACCTAGAAGATTTGGTAAAACTTGTGCTCATACATTATCTATATTAAATAATTTATAAAATCATAAGGAAAGAGGACCAAGATGTTTAGCACTTAATACTGTATAAGAATTAGCTCATCTATTTTATAAAGAATTAGCTGATCAATTTTATAAAGAATTTAATAGTCTAATAAATAATTAATGATTAAATAAATTTAAGAAATGAAGAATCCTATTGATATACTTATTAGTTCTCCATTTAAATTTCTAAAATTACATTAAGTAATTGATTTAAGTACTATGGAATATGTAATAATGAATGAAGCTGAAAAATTATTTTGAATTAAGATTATTAGCTTAAATAAAATAATTATTAAAAATATTGGAATCATTATATATTACTTATATGTTCTTTTGTGCTATTTTACCTGAACCAGTTGAAGATATTTATAGAAATTTATAAAAAAAATCCAATCAAAATAAAGATAGGAAGAAGAAATCATGTTTTAAGCAGAATTGATTAACGATTAAGATATGTATCAAATGAACATTTAAATATTTAAGAAATTAAAAATATAATAAATAAAGGTTAGTTTGATCTAAAACAAGAGCTGAAGCTTTAATGTATGAAATAGAATAATTGAAAGTAATTAGAGTAAATTTTATTCATGGAGATATAAAAAGTAAAACAGATAAGAAATTGTTGAATAATTTCATAAAGATATTATATGGACATACCATAAATTATAGTAAATAAAGCAAGTGTTAGTGAACCTATAGATTGGTTTAAGAGTTTATAAGGAGTTTGCTACAAATCTCAATGATCTTTCCATTATTAATTGATGAATATATATGTAATTATATAGATTCAATTTTAGAAACCAAGAATAAGTAAAGGATCTAATACTGAAAGTTTAATTTAAAGTAGGGCAATATTAAATAAAGTTAATATAATAATATCAATCCTAATTTTAATATAAATAAGTAATCAGATGCAAAAAATTTAGTAGTTTTAAAGCCATTTTCATCCAATAATCCAGAACTACTTTAAAATATCCTTCAAAATTTAATGAAATTATATTTATAATTTTAATTATTATTTTATATAATCAAAATATTTATTTGACAATGATCATATAATCCTGGCATTAAATCTTATATAGAATCTAATATTAAAAAAATCAAATTCTGTTACAATTAGAAATTATTGTAATAAAACTTAAAAATTCTTCATGTCTTCTTATAAATCTTAAAAGTTGAACTTATTTATCATGTTGAATTAAATAATTGATGAAATAGTTTATATATTTAATTTGCTTGAATAAAATTAATGAAACTCTAATTATCATTCTATAAATCTCATTGAATATTTCATACAGGCTTACTATTATTTTGGATCAAGTTTAATTTGAGTTATTTATCTTTTTGTATTATAGCCTTAACCAAAAGAGATTTTCTTTTAGATTTAATATTATTAAAAGTTTCCAATTTATTGATCTTTATTTTTTTAGATTTTATCAATCAATAGATTTTTTTCAAATTAAATTCTAACATCTACTTTTATAACTTTTTTTAATTTATCTGCTTTACAAGAATATTTATAATAAAGATACCCTTAATAATGAATAATTAATACTACAAGATTCAAATTAAGACATTAAACAGTTCTTTCTGCCATTCCTTATGATTTTTCATTATGGAATCTTCTGGTAATCATTAAAATTTTTCCTTTTTTGGCATTAATTATTAAAATGACGTATTCTTTATACATTCGCTTATATAATATTGGAATTCTTATCAAAATTTAAAATAATTTTCATTTTTATTTTGAAAATTATAATCCAGCAAACTTTATCTTTCATCCATATCATCTTCATTTTCTTTCTTTTATGAATTGCTTAGTAAATTAATTCTCTTAATTTATATCATCAAATAAAACTACTGTGGACATCTACTGGTATACCTGTTTATGCAGCAAAGACCAAACCAAGAATGTTTTTTATTGCATTAGGATCCACTATTTAAGGTACTTAATCTACGAACTTTAATTCTTCCAAAGGTATCGGTGAATATACTATGCTCCCTAGAAAAAGAATCACAAGTTAAAGACATTTTCATTCACCTCAAATAATAATAAACAATAATATAATAATAAATTTTACTTTCTTTTATTAATATAATCAAATTTTTTTTGATGTAACTTTGCTCTGGTACTTTGATCTTGTAAATATGGTTCTATTTAAATTATCTGTAATTTTTTAATTTTTCACTTCCTAATTTTGATCCACAATTTTTACTTAAATTTAAGTCTTATTTGGATCAATCTATTCATTTAATGTTTTATTTCTGTTTTTTTGATATGTCTAGATTTTCTCCTTCATTATTTTATAAATGTTTTAAAACTCAATTAAAACAAAAATGAATAAGACACTAACCAATATTGTCATTTAAATCCAGGAAATAATAATTTTCTGATTATATGAAAGGTAATTAGAAATAATATTCCAATTTACTAATGTTGATGCAGTAAAAATTGTTAATGAAGTTTGCATTATAACTGATTTTACATATTCTAGATTATCTAAGTCTAGTTATTTAAATTAGATTATATATATCAAATAGAAAGCATGAATCATAGTTAGAATCAATGTTTAAAGTTCTTATTCACTTTAATAGAATACAAGAATGTAGAGAATCAAAAATTTTTTAGTAACCTAAAATATATCTCTTTTTTAATGCCAAAATTAATCGAAATTTAATTTTTTCCATGTTTACAATCCTGAGACTTATCTTAGAAGTAAAATAAGTGTTGTAATTAAAATTGAAACAGCAATTATTTTACAAACAATTGATCTAGGAGATACGAAATCGCGAGAAGCTTATAATTCTAATAGAGCCATAAAAATTAAATCCCATGTACAAGCACGTAAAGTATTAATTAAGGAACTATTTTTTGCTTCTTTTTATTTCGTATTTACTTTTTTTTTAATTTTTTGAAGCAATCTTACGAAATTTGGCCATTTTTATAAAAATTAGAAAAGTTCAAGTCTAGAGAGTATCTAAACTCCAATAAGTGTACTTAGATAAGCAGCATATAAGGAGGCAAAGATGAGGATTTCAGCTCTTAAACCTTCAGCAATATCAGCATTAACTTGATAGAACTCAAATTTTTAATAAGATTATAGAAAAGGATATTTAAGTAGCTTACCTTCGTTTTTATAAAGCGCAATAGTATCTAAAGCTGATTAAACTGATACTACTTGAGATGATTAAAAATAGATTATTAATGTTTATGGATATAAAACATTAATGTATTTGAGATAAGATTATTCTTAAAGGGCATCTAATATACCCCAAAAGGAGATAGCATTACCTAAAAGCATAAGTAAAATAGTGATGAGATATAATGATTTAACAGAAACTTCATTAATTTTTTAGAATGCACTTGCAATATTTACCTATTGCGGTGTGATGTAATTTGGTTATTTAATTTGAATGTAATGAATCATATTTACTAAAGGAGCTTGATCATTGTTGTATAATTATTCAGTTAATTTAATTTCTAGGATTGGATTGTAATCTAGATTTTAGAGTATTTCAATCTATAAAACATACTCAACACTTGATGTTTATTAGAATAGAGCTGGTTAAACTTCTTAAATTGTAATATTAAATAAAGTTTCATTCAAATCAACAATTGATGGTTTGATTGTTTACAAATAATTTAAATTTGATTATTGTAAAACAGGTTATGAAAATGTGATTTTAACGTATTAATTTTCATTCTTCTACATTAAATATTCAGAAATTATAATTGGATACTAAACATATGTACAATCAGAATCTAAATGACAAATCCAATTGACTTCTGTTAAACAATTTTTAGAGCAACCATCTCCATCATTTTAATTACCATCATCACACTCTTCTAAATTTGATAGAACACCATCACCACAAATATTTGTACAATTATTATTGAATAATAAGAATCCAGAATTACAAAATAAACATTGTCCATTTAAACAATCTTTACAATTCAGAGGACAAGTGTATTTACATTGATAACAACCATCATTGTTCTCATTATTATTATCTTCACATTATTCTTCTCCTACTATAATTAAATCTCCACATATTGAAGAACAAACATTATTAATTAAGTAATACCCTAATTAACAAGAATCGAGACAAAATCCTTGTTAACAACTCTAACAATTTTAAGAACATGAAAATTGGCAATTGTAACAACCATCAAATTCAATTTCATTCCCATCATCACATTCCTCATCATCCGATACAATTAAATCTCCACATTTACTAACACAAGTGTTTCTTATTAAATCATAAGATTCTCTACATTGATAACAATTACCAAATTTACAATCAACACAATAAGAATTGCAAGCACACTCTTCAAGCGAATAGATTGCTTCTCTGTTGTCACCACAAATCTCTTGACATTGTCCCAACACCAGATATTGTCCTTATTAGCATTTATAACAAACACTCTCAATGCAAATTTCACATTAAGGTTGACATATACTTACTCTTTATTTTTATATGCATTGGTTATTTTATAAAAAATAATCTTATTAGCATACCTAACTATTTATTTTTAATATACCTAACAAATTCCAAAATAACATTCATTACAAAAGCCAGGACATTCAAATCCACACTAAATGCAATTATATCCATCACATTCCTCATTTATTGTTATCAAATTATCTCCACAAGTTGGTATGCAAGAGTTTGATGCTAATTTCAATTTAAATCCATTCTGACATAAAATACAACTTCCCTAAAAACATTCTTAACAACCTTCTATAAAATCAAAGCAGATAGGTTCATTTTAAGCAATAGGCATATTCTAACTTTACATAGTTATCTAAGAAACTCTTTAACATGTTTAAGTAAATTTTTAATATATCCATCCAGAATAGCAACCTAAACAAGTTCCCTTATTACATAAAGAGCAGCCATCTACACAAGAGTAAACACAATTAAAGCATCCATCAAATGGATATAAATTGCCATCATCACACTCTTCATATTCTTGAATAATTGTATCTCCACACATTGAATTTTCTATAAATTAAATTAAAATTCTACAAACAAATATTTCAATGTCCCTAACTCCGAATGATTCATCAGTGCTGGATTAATCAAGCATATTTGAAATCGTTATTGTGGTAGATGTTAAATAATGGGGAAAGGTAAGTTCGACATTAATAAAAATGTCTTAGGATGACGTTCCGCACACCACATACAAATATTAGTTCAATTCTGATAAGCTTCTTTTCCATTTGATATTTTGGTTCACTTATAAAATTGCATAATCACTACTTTCCCAACTACCTATTTTGAGATATTTGAATTTAATTTTCATTTATGAATGAAAAGGTAAGGAGATAAAAGTATAAGTTAACTTTGTGTCTTTTCCACAAGCACCATAACCACATATAGATGGTATTTCTATAATTAGAGATAATTTTACAAGAACATTATTATTTATTTAAATCCCCGTTCAAAATGGTCCATCCATCAGTTGAGAAGGAGTTGTATTCCGTTGCAGTATAAAAGGAACCTACAATGATCCAAGTTTGACATTCAGCCTTTGAGTTTGATTCTGAACAAATTAGACAGCCAGATGGACATAAAAAAAGGAAAAGTCTGAAATTCCTAAATCCCCATGATTCCTAATTTTAGAATTACCATACATCAAAAGGAATTTGATTTAAAGTACTTGTCAATTCAATAAATGATGTTATTCCTGTGTGTTGAAATGCAATTGAAATATTAAAAATTGAATCTTTTCGATTATTTCCTATTTAACCACAAATATAGTCCTGTCCTTATGAAAAAGAGTAGGCTTAATTATACTCTAGGTTTTCATCTACATAAATTTGAAAATATTCATTTCCATCCCAAGTATCAATTCTATTATTAATATATTGAAAGTACATAAATAGAGTGACAGAAATGTTCATTTTGTAATGAGGAGGTAATTATAAGAATTTAGTAGCAGCTTAACCAAATGCAAATGTTTCGAATCCTCCAATTATACTATAAGGACCACACTATTGTATTACTTTAAGTGCATCAGCTGCAATAAATGACCAATCTTATAGTTATTCATTTAATACTGTCTAAGTTTGTTAAGTTTGTGTCAGTAAATGCAGAGTAAAACAGTATTTATTAGTAAGTAATTTTGAGTAAAATGGTAACGAGCCAGAACATGTGATCTAACGCGAAAAGAATGTTGAAAATTTAAATTATTTTGATAAAGGTTTAATGAATTAATTTTTAAATATTAAATTTTATAATATTTAATTTATGGTTGTTCATTTATTAGTTTCAATCAAATGATTATTAATATTATAATGACGTTTCAACTGATAATTTTCAAAATCTGTATTTCCGTCCTATTTGAACCATTAAAATTGATTGCATTCCATTTGTAAAGTTTCTTAAAATAAAAATCCTCTACATCTAAATTGATTAATATGAAATAAATATTATAAAAATATTTTAAGATAATAATTAATATTATTTATCATTTTTACTTTTATAATTAGAACACATATACTCTTCGTGTTGACTAAGTAAACTTTGATTTACTGATTGCAAGTATCAGGCTTTCTGCCACGCAAATATAATCATTTTCCATTCATTAATAAGAAAAATATCAATAATTAAAAATTCAACAAATGAAATCTTTTTATCTATACTCGTCTCTTTATAGCAAGAATTAATTTAATTTACCTAGTTTCTCTGACTTCATTATTAAAGAAAAAAGTTAAATAAAATGAAGAATCACATAAGTTTGTTGATTTACATTCTGCAAATCTAAATCCTCTTGAGGAATATCAAATTGAAAGAATAATTTGTTGCAAAATCATAGCTGTAAGATTTATTACATGGATTTCTAGTACACATTCAAAATATATCTGTTTAGAAAAAAGAATAAAAATATTCTATAATCCAAACAACACTATCATCATTGTTTAAAAGAAATGAAATAATTTTCTTTATATATATATGTGAATATGTTAAACTTGCAAATCTTTAAAATTATTTATTCTAGTGTAAAAAAAGTTTCTGTGTTATTTGAACTTTTGTTGGAATAAAAAATTTGATTTAATGATTTTAGTTAATTTTTGTTTTATTAAAAAGCTATTATTGTTATTTTGAGAATTTTACTATATAAATAATATTAATTATTTTAAAGATTGCCATTACTATTAAAATAGAAAATCAACTATTTGATAATAAATAAATTTTGGTTATTCGCTAGTATTCGATATAATGAAGCAAGTGAATTATGTATTTGCTTTATAATATATGATAATATATATTAATCTTCTATATAATGATTATATAATTATATGATTAAATTAGCATAAAACTATTTGATAATTATAAAAATAGTTATTGAAAGTAAAAATAGCAAAGATATTAGTAAATTTAATCGATGATATGCATTTAATTTTTGAGATTATATTAGTAATACTCTAGAATTAAAGCCAATTCACAATTTATCCTTTAAGAAGAGGAAAATGCAGAATAAACTTTGCATACTAAACAATTGCTTTTGAACATGAGATAGAGAGTGTTAAATTGTTGTTCCTTCTAAATAGACATTCTATAATTTTTTTATTTTTATATATATTAATAAAGTATTTATTAAAATTATAGGCTGCTAATTCTATAGGTGGTTAAGAAGGTACCTATAAGAAAATAGCTAGATTAAATTTAATTAATAAGAGGTATGATAATATAATGAATTTATGTAGAATAACTTAAAGCTTTTAATTTACAGCACACGCCTGGGAAGGTATAATCATTATTAAATATTAAAGCTGAAAATGAAAAAGAATTGGAGCAACTAAAATAAAATTACTTCTATTATTATAAACTTGTGCTGCTAATTTATTTTCAGTGTTCTTAATGTAAGATGGAATTGTTTATATTTATGGATTAGGTTTTGGAAATTTATAAAAATTAAACTATAAATGTAACAAGTTTTATTTATTTATAGAAAAGTTTATTAAGGTTGATGGTTAAAGTAATCCAATAGGTTTAAATTAAACAAATGAATTAATATTTTTTCAATTAGATGAATAACTAATGTATATTAAAGAGTTTAGTAAAGGTTAATTAATTGGAATGTGTATAGGAGATAAAGCTAATTAACGGTAATTTGATTCAGAATAAAAAAAAATTACATAATTAAATCAATTGATGAATTATATTCAAATAATTNGTTAAATTCTGAGAGTTTTTCTATATTAAAAAGCTATTATTGTTATTTTGAGAATTTTACTATATAAATAATATTAATTATTTTAAAGATTGCCATTACTATTAAAATAGAAAATCAACTATTTGATAATAAATAAATTTTGGTTATTCGCTAGTATTCGATATAATGAAGCAAGTGAATTATGTATTTGCTTTATAATATATGATAATATATATTAATCTTCTATATAATGATTATATAATTATATGATTAAATTAGCATAAAACTATTTGATAATTATAAAAATAGTTATTGAAAGTAAAAATAGCAAAGATATTAGTAAATTTAATCGATGATATGCATTTAATTTTTGAGATTATATTAGTAATACTCTAGAATTAAAGCCAATTCACAATTTATCCTTTAAGAAGAGGAAAATGCAGAATAAACTTTGCATACTAAACAATTGCTTTTGAACATGAGATAGAGAGTGTTAAATTGTTGTTCCTTCTAAATAGACATTCTATAATTTTTTTATTTTTATATATATTAATAAAGTATTTATTAAAATTATAGGCTGCTAATTCTATAGGTGGTTAAGAAGGTACCTATAAGAAAATAGCTAGATTAAATTTAATTAATAAGAGGTATGATAATATAATGAATTTATGTAGAATAACTTAAAGCTTTTAATTTACAGCACACGCCTGGGAAGGTATAATCATTATTAAATATTAAAGCTGAAAATGAAAAAGAATTGGAGCAACTAAAATAAAATTACTTCTATTATTATAAACTTGTGCTGCTAATTTATTTTCAGTGTTCTTAATGTAAGATGGAATTGTTTATATTTATGGATTAGGTTTTGGAAATTTATAAAAATTAAACTATAAATGTAACAAGTTTTATTTATTTATAGAAAAGTTTATTAAGGTTGATGGTTAAAGTAATCCAATAGGTTTAAATTAAACAAATGAATTAATATTTTTTCAATTAGATGAATAACTAATGTATATTAAAGAGTTTAGTAAAGGTTAATTAATTGGAATGTGTATAGGAGATAAAGCTAATTAACGGTAATTTGATTCAGAATAAAAAAAAATTACATAATTAAATCAATTGATGAATTATATTCAAATAATTAATACATTTCTCAGCTGATAATAAACATTTAATATGTATTGAATAATAAAGATAAAGAGACTAAGTATTAATTATTTGAAAAGAAAAAGAAAAAGGAAGTTTAAATGAAAGATCATTGTAAAAATAAGAAATAACTTGAATAAAGAATGAAACAATTTTGAAGATCGTTTTAGAGAAGTTAAGTTATATACAAAATGATTAGATATATAATAATTAACATATTTAAATTTGATTACTTTCTTTAAATTTTTCTATATAAAAAAATTGATTTATTCGAAATGTTTTCACTATAAGTCCTTAAATTTTTCTAAAATTTTTCAGAGAGAAATTTTATTTCTTACCTTATTGTTCTTTAATTTCTATTTCTAGAGTCTCATTATTATCAATTGTTGTTCAATCACTAAAGAGTTGGTAAACGAGTGACTTAATTCTTCTTCTTTCTTTTAAAAATTTGGATCATTTTTCTCCATTCCTGCTTTCACCTTGGATTCAACTCCTATAATTGTTCCTAAAACTACTGTTCCATTTTTAATTCAGCAATAACTTACTCATTCTTGAACTTCGTGAGAAGCCTGAATGAATTCATTAAATATATTAATATTAATAATAATTATTATTATTTATCTCAATTGACTTTTTATTTATCTTTATTGCTTATCTATTTTAATATATAATTGATTATTTACATTTATAAGCTTAATGAATAAAATGACTATGTTTCTCCAAACTATACTTCCTATTCCGATAACAATGCAAACACACCTATTAAATCAATATTCAATGATACCATTATTGAAAGCTTAAACCAGGAAATGTATGCATTAAGATTCCTCCATATTATACTATGAAAAATTAAACTATTCCTATTAATAAAATTGTTGTATAAAGTATCCAAGATCCGAAAAATCCATTAAAAACATTTAATTCTAAGTGTACCATACGTGAATTAATCAAATTACATATTGTAATTATAACATATAGATTGAATACCATTAAGGACTAAATAAATCATATATTTAAATACTTAATTTACAAATAAAATGCATACAGTAGTTATGTATACAGAAAGTATAATGATATGAATTAAAACATTTTTATCCAAAATAAATCCAGTTTTATTAGGAGGTTTTTAATACTTCAATTCAGAACTTGGTCTACAATTAGATAAAGCTAATATAGCGAATAAATCATTAATTAGATTAATCCAAATAAATTAAAGTGGTGATATAAAAACATTTTCTAAAATTGCTGATACTATTAAAATGATCATCAATGAAAAATTAGATATGATCTAATATTATATTTATCGTTTAATTGAATCAATCAAATTTCGACCAAAAAAAAGTCCTTTATAAATAGAATTAAAATTGTCATCTAATAAAATAATCCCTGATGTCTATCTATCAATTTCTGTTCCTGATATTCCCAGACTATAACCTACATCAGCACGAGATAAAGCAGGAACTATTTATATGAATAATATTGTTATTTACTATCATTTAACCCATTACAACACACTCCAACTACATGACCCATTTCTTATAATTCTTTAACAAAATTATATTTATCTTCTGGTCTTGCTCGACACAAAACTTAAATATCCTCAATTTCTTTTTAAGAATTTTCTGACTTTTCTTACAATTTTAAAGCAAATTTATTTCCTTCTAGAACAATCGAGTTAGATGTCATAATTCCTGCTTCCATGGCAATATGTTTTGCATTATTAGAGTTATCACCTGTAACTAAAACAACCTTAACTCCAGCTTATTTGAATCCTTGAACTGCAGATTTTGTTTCAAATCTCAATGGATCTACAAATAATAAGAAACCTAATAATGTTAAATTCTATTTATCAAATTCAAATTTCTTATTCTCTATTAATTCTTAAATATTTTCATTTTATAAATCAATATCTCTATAAGCTATTCCTAAAATTCTGCCTTTTTGACTCAATTCTTATAAATATTATTCTATATTATTCTTTAAAACATTATCAATTGCAATAATTCCATTTTTTAGACTATAAAATTTAGTTGAGCAATTTAATATATGTTCAGCTTATCCTCTAATAGCAACTTTATTATTATTTATAACGATTGTCTAATAATTAATTAATATATTTAATATACTTATATTTTTCTAACACTTGTAAAAGAGATTTTATGTGTTACTTATTATGATCTCTCCTAAAGATTTACTCTCAGTTATTAAGAGCAATAAAATAATGCTTTATCAATAGCACTTCCCTCTTAAGTTTCTGGATCAAAATTATTATTAATCAAACAAGAATCAATAAAAGCTTATTAGAATTCTTATGAATAAAGATTAAATTGAGATGAAGTTAATTTATCAACTGTATCATTCATAAAACTATCTAGAATAATTCTATTTTGAGTTAAAGTTCCTGTTTTATCAACAATTACCTTTATAATAGATAAAATATAAATACAGAATCCATAAATGGTAAATGTTCTAATTATTAAAGATTTCTAACCAAATTTTATTCAGATAACATAGCTTTCACTGTCTAACCAAGTTGTAAATAGAAATGAGTAGCCAATATTTTAGTGGTATCTCCAGATTTTAATACTATGATAAGATTAAGTATATTTGAAATAGTATTATATCTATTTACATTTTATTCATTAGAATCAAAAATTTATCGAGCTAATAGTATCAAGACTAGTAATTTAGTTCCAAAAAATCCTATTATATCAATTTTATATGAAATATTTTCAATTGCTTTTGAAATAAATGTTTTTTTTTCTTCTTATAAAAGATTAATTGATAATTTATTAATTTATATTTAAGAACCAACTGCCAAAACTAATAATTTACCATTTCCTTTTGCTATTTTACTTCCTGCAAAGGCTAAATGTTTATGTGGTATAATTGACTATTTGGATTCAACTGCTTCCTCTAATGTAATTTTATGTATGAATTCAGATTCACCTGTTATATAGCATTCCTAAATATAAAAAAATGATCATTACATCAATATATAAATTATTTTATTCAACAATTAATCCATCAACATAGAGAGTATCATTCTCCTATAAAATTATAACATCTCCTACAACAAGATCCTTTGCTAATATAATTTATTATTATCCATTTCTTAATACGTTTGCATATTTAGATTGTTCTTTCAAATTTTAATTTTATATATATTTTTTATTTTCATTTTTTATCTAAAATTTATAAATTTGATTTTATACTTGAAATCCAGATATCATAAGGTTCAAAAAGAGTAAAATAAATATAATTAAACTCTCAATATATTCATTTGTTTAAATTTCATCTTTTGATAAATATTTCAACATCATTGCAATTAATGATAAGGTTAAGAAAAGTATTGATTTTGGTTTCTTTATTTAATAAATTTTTTACAAATAGAACTATCCGAAATGCTTTAAAAATACCAATAGAGTCTTAATTTTCATTCCAATTGACTCCAAAAACTTATTAACTCTATTCAGCTTTATCTTCACTTAATCCTTATTAGATGTTTGATTTTAAAGAATCTTCAAATAATTTTGTCGAATTTAATTCATTTAAACTATCTTAATGATCTTAAAACAATCCAGAAATTAATATCTGTTATAATTGTTCTTTAGATACTTTAAACATAAATTATTAATAATTATAGAAAAAAAATTAAATTTTTAGTTGTTATGTATTCGAAATTTTATTGCAGTTTTTCAATCTTATTATTTAACAATATTTAAAAGAATGAAATAATTTCTATTGATTTTATTAAGATATAGAATAATATAATAATTAAATGTTTGTTATGTTTCATTCATATGTTATTATACTCTTTTTTTCTTAAAAAAAACAAGTAAAAATATTATTAATAATTTAATAATCCGTATATTATAAAATTATTATTATCATTATAGAAAGGTAATAATAGATCATTAGAAAAATATGTATATCTCTATTTTTTGATAATAATAGAATCTTTATTTTTTAATAAATAGTTTTAACTCAATAAAATATTTTTGGATTTGATATTGTTGTATATATATAGTTAGATACTCTAATATCATAATCAATACTTATAAATTTAATAGATTGAAATAAGTATTTTATAAAAATAAGATTAATTATATTATAATGATGGTAAAATAATAATGAGAGTCTATGGATATTAAATAAATGAAATAAGATATTTTAGTATGATACTATATTCATTTCTTAAAAAGAAACTTGATTAATTTATAAATAAATTATATAGATTATGATGACACTTTAAAAAGGATTTTCTCTAAATTTATATTATAATATATATTGATGTAAATACATCTTTTACTTGCTACTTTAAGAACTGAAAAACCTAATTAGAAGCAATAATTCTTGAAAATACTCTAAGATCATATTCTTAATTGCATTAATGAATAAAGTGATTAAGCTTGGGAATATTGCAATATTGCTAACAAAAAGAATATAAATAAGTTATTGAAGTTATATAATTTTAGAGATAGAGATGTATTTCACTAAATTCTGACTAAATTGAAACCACTTGTTTAAATATTTGATAAAATGGATAATATTAGAAAAAGAGAATGTAAGGATAAAGCAATTTAAAAATTATTGATTTCCTTAAAATTTGAAGCTGAAAAAAAAAATAAGGCTTTATTAATAAATTATGTTTAGATCAAAATTTTACTTAAGTGTTATAGGAGAAAATAGTAGAATTTTAAGAGAAAGAAATAAATTAAATGAAGAATAAGGAAAAAAAAGATAGTGAGCTAGTGCATGAAAGATTAGTTAATCGTTATTTAATAGAAAAGAAAAATTAAAGAAATAATGTAAGTTTAAATTAAATATGATAACAATACAATAAGTGCAAAGGCAATTAGTGATAAATTATTTAATACATCTGATTCTATCAAATAATTCAACTAATTTTTTATAGAATAAAATTGATCTTATTGGATTCAGATTTGCTTATTTAGAAAAAAGTCTAATTATTTTAATTGTATTCAATTTCTTACAGGATCTTGGCTTCATCATAATTCTCAGCTGTGATTATTTCTGCAAAGATAGTTGTCTTTTTGAAATATAAATGATATTAAAGCATTAAGCATAGTAATTTGGTGTTCTTTTGTATGTCTTATAAGAAATTCTATTCAAATTATAGAGGAGTTACTGGTACGGATTAATCTTATGAAAATCAATTTTGGCAATGGAGTATATACAACTATATCATTCATAATCAAAGAAGGAGAAGATAAGCCAGATACATTTAATTTTAATAATATAGATAATTATACTCCTAAATCCCCATTCAATACTGATAAATAAATAATTATTGGAATATATTTTTGATAAAAAAAACCAAATGTTTCTTTTGATGATTGATTTTTAAGATATACTTATTAGAGATTATAAAAATATGGATGATCAAATTGATTAAGATGATCTAGAATGGATGCCTTGGAAATTTGTTTGGTTTTGAATTTCTGATCAAGATTCTTATCCTTATGAAATGGATCAAACAAATTAATTGATAAACTTGCTTGGATAACATTTTCGAGATCCACAATAAACAAAATTATCAATGAGATGTTTCATAATAAGGTAATAACTTTTGCAATAGGAATATCTATGGTATACCCAAAGTTCCTGAAATTAATTCATTTAAGAAGACTGTTTTTGAAGACATTTAAACAAAAATCTAAGTATTGTTTGGTAGAATGCTTATAAATTGTTATATCATTATTAAGCATCAAGAACTAATCATGTTAGACCATGAGACAGAGTTTTATCAGTTTTCTAATATATTAATCAAAGCATCATCTTTAGTACATACACTAATCATGATGCCTATGCTTAGATTTTACATGAAGCCATATGACCAATTCTTTATTAAACTGCCTACAGTTGTGCATTTTATGAATAAAAGAAGAAATGAAACGAAATAAAATTGGCCAATATTGATTGAGTCTTCCTAATATCCTGAAGCATTGATGATTAATCTAAAGACGGATTTAAGGTATTCAAAAACAACTTAGAATTAACCATAGAAATTCTTAATTAAATTTGGATTTTCTTTTTCTAAATTTTTCCATTTTTAAGAATATTGGGTATGCTTAAAATACACCTTTGAGAAAATATTATTTATATTCGACTAAACTTTATCTAAAATTGACTCGGAAATTTGAAATCATACATTTAAAGGCAGGATATCAAAAATCAATATTAATAGCCACCATTATTGCACGACATATGTTAAAAGTAAATTAATTCCATTCTTCCAAAAGATTTTAAAATAAAACTTAGGAGTATAAAACTTATAAATCTTGGCTAATCCTAGAAGTAAGCAATTGGAACCTTATTTACTACTTATTTTAAATAGTGAAATGATACTATTATTTTTCCATCTAAAAAGATGATTGAATAATGATTTATCTTTAAAGAGTAGTTATCAATCATCTTGTCTCTATTTCAAACCATAGCAGCTTTTTTTCTAGAAGGTTCATAATTGTTCAACCTTAAGAAAAACATTTTAGTCTTCTTCAAAATTGGCCTTGAATATTAATACCATTCGTAAATGATATATTCCCATGGATATCTAATTAATCCTTCTTTCACTTCATTTTACTGGTTTTGCTTAAATGACAAGAGCACGATAAGTAATCCTTTTCTCCATATTATTCTTGTTCAAGATATTTATGAATTACCAGCCCAATATAGAACTTTAGTTGGTTTCTGGTCAAAGAAAACTAAGGAGAACGGTTATATTTCTTATATTTCTTCTTTCGATATTCTTCAATAATTAAAGGATTTGCATAGGCATTATCTCTAAACGGAGAAGATATTTTCTAATTCGATGAACTCAAACACTTTTTTCCAAATAAATTCTGCTTCAAATTAAGAGCTGAGAATTATTATTAACTATTTCAAGTAATAATGTTTAGCTCGAATCTTTCTATTGGTCATAGATTATTTAATATTAAACAAATAATCTCTGTATTTTTTTGTAAAATATTCTATAATTTTGAAGCTTAAAAAATATTCTGATGGAAAAGTTCATCTACTTGAACTGAAGAAAAAAAACTTAAATATTATCATTTGGATCGAAATAAGAGATTCTAGCTGATTTATTTTCAGATAAATCTAACAATCTCTTAGAAAAAGGAAAAGTATATTAATTGATGCATGTAAGTAAATAACTTGTTTTATCTAAGATTTCGAGAACAATGCTATTCTAAAATTATCATTAGTTTCAGTTTAAACAAATATATGGTTAATAAAAGTCCTCCAATATATTCAATAGAAGATGTAATGTTAGCAATTTAAGCAATAATGTTATATAAAATATTTTAGGAAATTAAAACTTATCAGATAGTTGTAAACAATTCACTGAATTCGATTAATCTAAAAGAAATCTAATAAAATTGATGGGAAAATAGAATATAAGTTGAAAAAATAAAGAACGAAATACTGATATATGTTGAAATTTCTCATCATCAATAACTTTTATATTGCAATAAAAGCTATTGTGATGAATATGCAATTGAATTACCTAGATTAGCTGTGGTTTAATACAAAATTTTATTTCAGAAAAATTAATAATAATTATTATTTTTTTATAAACATTTTTATCAATTTTAATTCAACCTCTTCTTAATTTGGATAAATATTTCATAAAATAAAAAATTATTCCTCATAATTTATTAAAGCATATGAATGAAGATGCATTTCCGTAATCTTTATCATTTATTTGTTATTAGCTAATTTGGATAAGATTGGATTATGAACCCTTTGAAATTATTGGATTTTCAGTTACTGTTTACTTATAAATTAAACTAAATTGTTTCGAATGTTTGAGTCTAAATTGGAACAAAATTCATGCTAGTATTTTAGAGCTGGCAAAAATTATCGCTTTGCATTATACATATTACAATTTTCTGCATTTATAATATATCTCTTAGGATTCTCAGATAAGGGAATAAATACTGTTTGCACTAAAAAGTAATTTCTATTTTAGTGTTGAGGAAAATTTAGCAACTAGCTTATATAGAATTGATTTGAACTCAACAAAAGTGTTTTAGTATATTTACAATTAGTATTCAAAGTATAAAAAATATAGTTTTCTCATACAAATTAGAATGTCTTGATTAAAATAATTTTATGTCTGAAAAACAAACTCTTATAAAATTTGTTTTTGCTAAGATAATCAGTATAAAATTAACAAATTTTATCAAAAATAGTTACAACTTTTTTTCTTGTTCAATGAGCATATAATACATATTCCTTAGTTCAAATAAAGTAAATGCAAAAGGCTAGCAAATAAAAATATTCCTTTATTAAAAACTCAAACTAAATATATTACATACAGAGAACTTTTATAATGCAAAAGTAATATTTTAGGTAATTTTTTTAATGCTTAGTTATAAATTTCTATCTCGTATAAATCAGTGAATTCAAAGCTAGAGCTCACTAGTAACATTTTTTCATTTTAAATATTCAACTTTTGGATTCCTATCAAGATTTCTAAAAGTTTGACAAATACTGCAATTGAGAGACAAGGATTAAGCTTCAATTCTTATAGAGATCTAAGCACAAATGCCTCTTGATTATATCTAAAGAATGGGTAAAAAAATTGTTAAGACTTATAGACCAATAGCACTTGGATGAGCTATCAGAGATCTTGATGATCAAGTGTTAACAGCGATTCTGAAATTATTTAGGAAAAAGAATATTTTGGATCTTTTTGGATCTGCATGTTACTATAATTTTATCCATTGCTGATAGTGGAATTCTTTTCATCAAGCTTCTCTCCTTAGAGTAATTTTTTAGTTTCTGATAGTAAAGGTAACTCTAAACTGTAGTTGGATGTTAGGATAAATCAAAAAAGAAGAAAAGAAGAATAGAAAGAGAATTAAATCTTATCCAAAACTGTTTTATATTTGAACAATCACAATAAGCAACTTCCGTATATAATCACATCTAAAATTATAGGTTCCTCCTTTCTTTCATATTTATTTTATTGTTTATTTAAATTTTTTGCCATCTTTGAGTAAATAATAACATTTGAAAAAGATTTAAATAAAATTTATTTTAATATTACATTTTGTTTTATCATCGTTTTGATTATATTATGAGCAATTGATTTTTGAACAGTCCAAAATATGGCAGGAGATCGTAATAGTAAAATATATGATAATATGAAAGTAGTTTGTTTAAATTGGAGACAATTTTTTTCCTCTATAATTGAAATAGTCAAAATTATTCGCTTCATACTTATTTCTATATTATTTATGATTATAAATTAATTCTAAAATTCAAATTTGTCAGCTTTTTCCTGAAATACTTTGATTTAATTTCCAAATCACCATTTTCATTTTTAATATTTGGAGCAGAAAAAGTAAGCTTAACTCATTAGGCATTCACTAATTTTATTATGAAAAGCAATAGTAATCAGCAAAATCAAGCGTCGAACTATCAGTTCTCAACCAATTGCCTAGTTTAGACACATTTAATCCTAACCATTTTTTTCAATTAAAGTTTAATTTTGAAAAAATAGAAAAAAAACAAATTGTGTTTAGAAATATACATTGTATTTTTATTTAAAATTATCAATTCTACTTTATTTGCTATTCTTATTTACTTTCCAAAAAGAGACTTCCTTTAGATTTCAATAATGATCTTAAATCTATACCACAATGATTGATGAATTCTCCTTTGAAAATCAAAGCATCTTTTGCTTAAAATATAGCAAATTGGGAAATAAGCAGTGTAGTAATATTAGAGGTGCCTAAAATTAAATTAAAAATAATACTTTATATTAGAGAATTAATTTCATTAAAGGGAGTTTTGACTTCTGCTAAAATATCTGGTCCAATTTATTTTCCTGTTTCGATAGAGTTATCAAAAGTAGTTCCATGTTATAATGATGAGTGATTAACAGTATCAATCTTTTAGAAATTAAATTATTGTTTTTAAACGTTCCATAAACGGATTGAGTTATCACGGCTACCAGATGCTAATGTAATTCCGTTAGGGGAGAAGCATACTGATAAGACCTTATTAATATGACCATCCAATTAGGCTTTTTATTATCCTGTCTTAACATCCCATAAACGAATAGATAAATCTCCACTACCAGATGCTAATGTGGTTCCATCAGGTGAAAAGCATACTGATAAGACCTTATTAATATGACCATTTAATTTGGCTTTTTTTTTCCTAGTCTTAACATCCCATAAACGAATAGATAAATCTCCACTACCAGATGCTAATGTGGTTCCATCAGGCGAGAAGCATACCGATGAGACTGTACTAATATGACCATCTAATTTGGCTTTTTATTATCCTGTCTGTAAATCCCATAAACGGATTGACTTATCGTTACTACCAGAAGCTAAAGTAGTACCGTTGGGTGAAAAACATAATGAGTTGACATCATTTCTATGGCCAATTAATTCGGCTTTTGTTTCTCTTGTCTTAACATCCCATAAACGAATGGATTTATCTTCACTACCAGATGCTAAGGTAGTTCCATCAGGTGAGAAGCATACAGATAAGACTGAGTGAATATGACCATTCAATTGGGCTTTTTATTATTTAGTATTAATATCCCATAAACGGACAGACTTATCTCGACCACTAGATGCTAATAGAATTCCATCAGGTGAGAAGCATAAAGAATTGACAGTATTCGTATGGCCATTCAATTTAGCAATTTATTACCCTGTCTTAACATCAAATAACCCGATAGACTTATCTCCACCACCTGATGATAAAGTAGTTCCATCAGGTGAGAAGCATAATGATTGAACAAAATTACTATGACCATCCAATTTAGTTTGTTAAAATCCTGTTTTCACATCCCATAGATGTATAAATGTAT